TGAGACAGTGTCCAACATTGTGTTTAGTTTGACTAAAGAATATAGGTCTTTATTAATGCAAATGTCTCAAAAGTTCCTGTTCAAGTATGACCTGGTGAAGTACGACATGGAGAAAGAGGAACCAGTGAAGGATCAGCGAGGATTCTGTCAGCGAGCAGGAACAGGTAAGAGTGCCACTGCCGTGAGCCAGCAGACTTCACATGTTTCATCTGTACCCATGTCCAAACCTCTGCTTGTGTGGTCCACCCAGGTGAGACAGGGCTTTTACTGTCCAAAGTGAGCTCTCTCACTCCCTTCTTTGGCTACAAGGGCAGCAAACAGCAGACTGAGAAAAAGCTGATGAAGAGTGTGTTTGTGAAGGGCGACACCTACGTAAACACGGGCGACCTGATGGCCGAAGACAGGGAGGGCTTCATCTGTTTCAGAGACAGATTGGGGGACACCTTCAGGTGTAGTTGTCGTCTTTCCGTTACTTTTTTTGTAGACACTGACAAATTGTTATCTGTGATGGCATAAGGTCAACAAGAAGACAAAGTATTGTGCAACCTATTATTTTCATTAAAAACGGCGTGAATATGAATCTATACAAAACAAAACATAAAAAGTACATTTAATTTTTTTCCTTGGTAAAAAAGTAGATTGTGTAAAAAAAAAAAAATTAAATTTTTTTTTTTTTTTCAATTTAATTTTTTTCCTTGGTAAAAAAGTAGATTGAAAAAAAAAAAAAAATAAAAAAAACATATATATATAGCGTGGCTAAAAATATATATATATATAGTGTTTCCCAACCTTCTTAGCCACGAGCATACTGTATGTATCATCAGGAAAAGCCCACCAGACACCAGACACAAATCTCACTAAAAGTATATGTAATGAAATATAATAATCTTCTAGTTTAGATGACCTCATAATTGATTAGAATTCCAGCCTGTTTAGTTGAAGACAATGCTGATATAGTGGCAGGGGTTGAAGAAAGTTTTTAGTTTTCATAACCATCTGCTGCCACCTAGCAGAAGAGTATTTAATTATTCTGCGTTGACAAGCAAAGAAAAATCATATGCATTAAATACACTTTAGTTTTCAGCTCAATTAAGTGACATTGGATAATTTTCCACGGCCACCTAGTGGTCTGTAACGGCACACTAGTGTGCCAACGCAGGTTCAGAGCAGAGGTATGGAGCGCAATAGAATAAAAACAAACAAGTAATAGAGAACTTTATAAACACTGTACATCAAAAAACAAATAGTTTGGAGTTTGTTTTGGTTTATAACAAACACCGTGGAGTGGAAAGAAGAAGATGACGAAGAAGATGATGATGAAGAAAATTTAGAAGAAACTGAAGATAAGAAGAAGCAGAAAATGATATGGCACAAAAGTAAATTCTTATGAAACATTGACAAAACCAAAGGCGAGTAAAGTTGACAGCTACTGTTACAAGTATATGTGTTAACCAAATCCTGTTTACACTGGACGATAAAAGTCTGTCTCTTCCTTTTTCAGGTGGAAGGGTGAAAACGTAGCGACCATGGAGGTGGCAGAAATTTTAGGGCAGGTAGATTTCATACAAGATGTCAATGTTTACGGTGTTAAAATACCAGGACATGAGGGCCGGGGAGGAATGGCCGCCATGACTGTACGACCGGGTCACAGATTTGATGGGAAGAAGCTGTTTGAGCATGTGATGAGTGAACTACCACCATATGGACGCCCAATCTTCATTAGGCTTCAGGTCAGAAAAACTGTCTTATTTTAAATAAATTTAGTAACAATAAATGGAAAATTGAAAGTGTCAAAAAGTATCGGTGGTGAAATACGATGATCATCTAGTTTCAATTTACTTAGTAAGTGTGAAATCTGGGCCTGTTTAGTTGAACACAACTTTGGTTTAGTCGCTGGAATTAAAGAAAGACACAAAGGAAGACCTTCTTCAACAGCACTCTTTTTTTTTTTTTAGTTTTTTTTTTTTTTTAGTTTTTACAGCCATTTGCTCCCACCTAGTGGAAAGGTCTTTAATTGTTCTGCTCTTCAGTGTCACACTGAGAAAGACAGTGTTTGCAGGAATAGATCATAGTTTTCAGACTAAGTAAGAGGAATTTGATTTGTTTTTTGTTTTTTTAAACCATTCCTACACTCAGTATTTCAATAACACTTCTCCTCTTAGGAAATGATTGAACTGACCAGTACCTTCAAGCAGCAGAAGATTCAGCTGGTGCAGAGCGGCTTCAACCTGTCCACTATCTCAGAACCACTTTATCTGTTGGACTTGGAGCAAAAGAACTACATTCCCCTGACAGATGCCTTTTACCAGAGCATCATCACAGGACGGCGCAAGCTGTAGGACCGTGACAACAGCTCAAAGATGATGAACATCACTGGCTGCACACACTCGCACGGTGCAAATACTACAGATTATTTAACGAGTGTTGGGATTTAGATAGAAAACACGTTGAGAAATATCAGGAAAAATTTGATCAGAGGCAGAATTATAGAAAGATTATAATTCAGTTACAGTAGCAGAGGGCTGCACTGCAAGAACAGCCCTAGCAGATAAGAACAAAACATTTGAAAATGATCACTTCATCTTGTGTCAAATACATTAATCTGCCAATAAGGAGCAGACTTTTATACTTGACAAGATTTCTTTAAAAAACAATGAAGTTCTTTCCTGTGACAGACCGAAGTGCCACAAAAACGCAGATAAAGTCTTAATCGAACATGAATTAATGACGTTGATGCTTTGAGTTTTGTAGAGAAACATGATGTTGAACATTTCTGCAAGCTTTTAGTGCTTTCTTATGAAGAAAAATGGGTTTTCCCCTGAAAGAAGAAGCTTTTTAGCCTTTTTGAATTTCTTTTTAGCAGTGTTTAAACAGAATCACCAGTCAGAAGTACAGCGTCTGTGTGAGCTCTGTCAGCCAGTCCACAACTGGACTGGTTTGTTTTCACAAAGATGTTTCACCTCTCGTCCAAGAGGTTCTGGAGGTCTGATGAAGGATCTTTTGATGGTCCAGTTTGCCCTTGATGTAATTGCTTCAGACAGAAGAACATAATAGAATATATAAAGAATAGAATAGAAAACTGTTTTCACTGACTCCATGGAGTTCATAGAAGAGTTGGGGGTGGGGGGGGTGGGGGGTGTTTGTTTCAGCTGCAGTAAGTTGGTGGTGCTAGAGGGCAGTGGGATGGCAAAGAAGTGTGTGTGTGTGTGTGTATACACAGTCTATACGTAATTGAACGGAAGTCTGATTTATTTAGAGACCCCTAAACTGAATGTAAATCAAACATTTCTTCTGTTCAGTTTTTCAGACGTAATAATTTACTTTTTAGCAAAAGCCAAAACAACACTCAGCTGGGACCATCAGGGTTAGGGATTTAATGGAAACTGCAATATTTCAAAAAAAGCTGTGATGGAGCTCGATCAGTTTGTTTGTCCTTATCTGTAGGGAACACCATTCCAGTCCTTAGAAGGAGCAGGATGTGCTTGACCTGGTGCACATTACGTCTAACTACAAAACACACTAAAACAGTACTCCAGTACAATCCTTAAAGGCCCACAGACAATCATTAATCTGTCGAAGGTCCAGGGAGGAAGAGGGAGAATCTAGAAAATGATATCGAAGATCGATTTAGCATCGTTGGACAAGCCATAAACCATAATGTTGTCTGAGACAGAGCAAAATGTTTTTTGTTTCTGAATTAATAGAAATATAAAATAAAATGCTATGTGTACATTGACCTGGATAACAAGGAGTTTAAGACGAATATATCAGGATACAAAAAACCCATGTGAATAAATTATCTCAGGAATTAGATACAGGCTCGTACTACTGTCAAAGTATCGATAATCATAAGTGAAAGTGAAAAAACTATCTTGTACTTGTAACTACCTTGCAGGGCTCCCTAAAACACAACTATGTTACTATATATGTGTGTATCTATATAGATATATAAATATAGATATACATATATGTATATCTATGTCAACACAGTCTTCAACTTCAATTTGAGTCGAATCAATGTGTAAGATTCAAACCTGGAAAAGTGTATTTGTTTTAGACAGACGCTGGTGAAGCAGATTCAAACCTGGAAAAGTGTATTTGTTGACAGACGCTGGTGAAGCGGCAGCAGCCGCGGAGGTTTTCAGACGTGACTCTATGTCAGTGGTGCAGCAGTGCATAAGACGACAGCATCGAACTGACGGGTAAGGTGTTTCACAGGTGACAGGTTTCTAGGGTCGGTGCACTAGGAGCTTAACCAGCAGAGGGCAGCATCTGTAAGTCTAAGCAGTAGTTCCAAAGGCTGTAATGTCTCTGCGCCTTTTTGTCATGTGTGCCTCTGAGCTACGCGACGCGTACGGCTGATTATTAGGCAAAACATGTCAGTATGTAAAACATTCAGGAGTCCTGTGGCCACCTACCGGACGTAAAGAAGTATTGAGTACTTTTTCATCTTCAAGGTTTTCAATAGAAAATGAACCTAACAAAAAATAAATCATCTTTGTTAATTAACAATGTCAGCTGCTATAACTATCACTGTCACAGTTATTTGAATTACTCCACTCCCATTCACAATTCTTGTTAATTATTATGTTTATGTTACAGATGCACTTATTTATACATTATTATCAACATAATTAATACATTATTCATCTATATTTATTGCCTTCTCATAATGAATTTCTAACCCTATTATGAATATTTCCACTTTGAACAAGCACTGTAACCTAAAAGTGTAACATCAACATGCTGTTTAACAGCAGCCACTGCCCACAGCCCATCAGACAACTGCTTGTAGAGCATGTCCACATCAATCTGTCTTTTATTTTTGCTGCTTCTGCAAAGCGGAATATTTTCATGAATATTTTTAACTGTTAAGTACTTTATGTAGCATCTTATTTATGTACAATGGTACTTTGACAATACAATGATAATAAAGCCTTTTTTTTTTCTTTTTTTGAAGAATAAAATTCTGCATATTTGCTTGAATGCCCATTCGTGCCACCAGGGGTCCAAATACTTGGGTCTACATCAGGGGTCACCGACCTTTCTAAAACTGAGAGCTACTTCAAGGCTACTTAGTAATACAGAGAGATAGTTGTTTGTTACAGTCTTTCTGAACAATGTCATAATAATCAGTTCTGCTACATTCAGTAGTAGACACTCTTCTTCTCACCATCGTCATTTCAACCATTTGAATATCACTGCACTGTGGAACTGATTCAAAAAGAAGAGTACCAGTACAATTTTTGACCTTTTGTTGACTAGATTTTTAGAAGATGACCCGCGGGCACCTTCGGTAGTCCATGGGGGCTACCAGGTGACCCCCCCACCCCCCAGGCATCACGTTGGTGACCCCTGGTCTAAATCATGTCTAATTTTATATTTAGATCTATGACATTGTTAGGTATATGTGTTCTGTATTTTTGTTTTCTTTGACCAAGGAATAATGGATTGGTGATTTTGTCAAAGAATGAACTCTGAACCTCCAGTCCTGCTGTATTGGATTAACATTTTAAATATCTGAAAGACTGAGGAATGAAACAGAAATGAAATATTTCAAGAAATGGAATTACTTTCAAAGATAGTTACCACAGAGAACTGGGGCCACACAGAGAGAGAAAAAATAAAATTAAAGTTGTGAGTTTTATGAGCTTAAAGTCAGAACATTAGGAAAAAAAGGTCATAGTTAGAAGAGAAAATCAAACATCTTTAACCATAAGTTAGTCAGAATTCAGATATGATAATTCTACTCTTCACTGTCACGTCATGACTGTAGACGTCTATTTGTCTTCACTAATATGACGACTTTGTTCATAAATGTATGACTTCATTCTCATAAACTTGGGTCTGTATTTTTGGAAACGCATGAATTTTTTCTTGTAACGTTAAGATGTTATTCTCAGAAATGTCAGACTTTAATCTTTTTTTTTTGTAAAATCATTGTCAGTGTGGCCGCCCTAGAGGTTGGACTTGATTCCAGGTTTGATAAAGAGCAAATAAAGATGAGAGATGAGAGGCAGCTTCAGACGATATCCAGATGGAGGGGGAGAAACCGCT